CGGCTGGCCCCCCCCCCGGTCTGCCACATGCCGTGGTTAATGACCGGCCCGCTGCTGGTGACACGGCCGACGCCATGGTAGCGCAGCTGCAGCTCCAGCCTGCCGGCCCTCAGGGCCAGCATGACCCAGGTGCTGCGCTGATGGCCGCCCGCGAAGAAGAGGACGCCTTCGGGGTCGAAGGTCCGGAAGTCGAACTCGGCCATGAGCCTGGGGTGGGCACCGAGGACAGACCGGTGTGGGCAGCAGTGTGTCCACATGGGCGGCCCCAGGCCGGGTGGCCCTGAGCAGGGAGGCACCACGGAGACTGCCAGGGCAGCCCAGCCCTCCCGGCAAGCCCCCGTGGCCCCCGCCAGTCCTGCAGCCCCACGTCACCCAGAAACACCCTCACCTGGTGGGCTGCAGCCTCTTGAAGCGCAGCCGGATCACAGGGGTCCCACTGAACATGCGGCCCAGGTACAGGGACTTGGCGCTCCGGGCCGTGTTGAAAGGCACACACTGCAGGATGTCCTGGGGGGGCAGTCACCAGGGATCCTCTGTCCTCCCCTCATGTCCTCGCCCCTCGCTCCTACACCCCAGAGCCTTGGCCCAGCCCTCATTGGGGCTCTGGGAGAAGGCGAGTGTCTGTCGGTCGCAACGTCTCACGGAACGTCTCAGGGTCCATCACACCCACTTTCCTTCTTGCTCTTACCTAAACACAACTTCATACACGGGCACACTCGAGTGAAAGCAGACAGCCTCGGGGCTGCTGACCCACGTGCCGTGCTCTCGGTGGCAGGCGGGAGGACGAGCCATGCCGTGCGAGCGGACACCCCCAAGAGACAAGGCTCCACAGTTTGGGTCTGGAGTGGGGGCAGCTCTGCCTGCTCAGGCTGCCAGGATGAGTGGACTGAGAGCCCAGAGAGGACCCACAGCCCGAGGACACCCCAGAGGAGCAGACAGCCAAGATCAGAGGGCTGTGCGGGCTGGGGCCTTGGCAGGGACGGCGGCCTGACCCAGACCTGCTCGGGTCATGAGGTCTTCCCGGAAGACCCTCTACTGCCTTTCACCTCTCCAGGTCCGCCCCCCAGCAAAGCCCGGCCTGTGCAGGCTCCAGGGACCGACTGGCCACGCGGGCCCACAGCACGCCCTGCTGGTGCAGCCTGTGCCGCCCTGGGTCCCCGGCTAGCCGACTACAACAGGGAGGCACCACAGAGACCACCAGGGCAGAAACTGGGCCCCGAACCTCTGCCCGGCCCTGCGCACCCAGCCCCAGGCCTACCTCACAGGCGTCCATGTCCTCTGACAGCTTGAGGCCCCCCTGGCCGTCACAGTGGCAGGTGTAGCTGCCCGGGGCGTTGACACAGGTCTGCTCGCAGCGGCCCTGCTGACACTCGTCCACATCTGGGCCACAGGGACACGGTGGCGAGTGTGGGCGCCCAGAACCACAGCCCTGGCCACCCCACCAGCCGGCCTCCCCTGTCCACCCTCTGGGGGCAGGGGCTACAGGGACGGCCCCTTGGACAGGCCAACGCCCAGCCTGGTCTGTCTGGTCAGGCACCCAGGGCGGGCTGGAGCAGAGTGTGTGGCAAGGCCCTGCTCCGGCTGCCTCCGCTGGGGCTCTGGGTCTAGGACCGGCAGGTGTGTCCTGCATAACAGAAAGGAAGACCCTCGGGCTGAGTGTGAGGCCGCCTAGGCCTGTGCGGCCTTCCCAGAAGGCCCTCTGCTGCCCTTCAGCGCACTCCGGAGTCTGTGCAGGCCCCAGGGCCTGGGTGGACCTGAAGTGTCTTCCCTGTGTCCACAGCCAGCTGGACGAGGGCAGGGACGCGCATGTGTGATGAGTGCAACGATGCAGCCAAGCTTACAGGTGTGCACGTGCAATACGAATGCACGCATGTACACACGTGTGTAGAAGCACCAGCCATGGCAGGCCCTGTGTGCGGGCTGTTTTGGAGTCCTCTGGGGCACAGATCGTCCTCCAGGCAGCGTCTGCTTTCCAGACCACGCGTTGCCAGCGGCCTCTGCCCCAAGCCCGGGCTGTTCCTGAGACCCTCTGGTCCTAAGAATGGGGGCTGCTGGGGCAGGG